TACATTATCGTAGTAGATTATTAAGACTTTATTTACTGGGAGAAATAACATAAGTTTTAAACTTTTTACTTTTTTATTGTAAATCAGCATTTCAGTTTTCCAGTGGGCAAAACCTAGTGGATGATCCTGTAGTAACTTGGAGCATAAAAAAGTTTTCGGTACAATACAAAGCTGTAACTAACATGATCAGCTGACCTCTTAAGTGACTTAGAACTACAAGAAGTGCAAGATTTTTTTCCCATTATATGTTAACACAGGAACTGGTTACGTATAATGTGCTTAGTATCTGTAGGAGTGTTAACAGTTTCCTCATACATAGAAAGGTGATCTTATTAAAAGAACTAAATTAAGCTACTTAAGTTTTTTAGTTTCCCAAAAGTATGTAGGAATACCATAAAAATAGAATTGTTTAAAACCTAATTCAGGCAACTGTAAGAACATTAAGCTTGGTTCCCCTCTCCCCCCATTTTCAAAAATAGGCATTCTGGGTATTTTGTATTTATTTTACCATTTAGCTACTGAAGAGTATCCATCTTTAAATGTGCTAAATCTCTTTAATATAGCTTTGGTTAAAATTCAGGTAATGTTTACATTTTTATAGCAGAGAGAGAGTTTGTGTCAACTCGTTTTACAGCCAGATTTGGATATCAAAATTTCAACTGTAATTAAAAATAATTTATGTAAGTTGAATCTTGTCTGAGTTCTATTTTATGGAGTTTTATAGTATCAACTAGAGCAGGGATCAGTAAACTGTAGCCCACAGACCAAATCTGGCCTGTCACCTGTTTTTGTGAATTAAGTTTTATTGGAACACGCCTATTCATTTCTGTATTATATCTGTTGCTCTTTTGGCACTAGAATGGCAGAGTTGAGTAGTTGAAATAGAGACTGTATGGCTCACAAAGCTTAAAATTTTTACTGTCTGGCCCATTACAGAAGAAAGTTTGCTGACCCCTGAACTAGACTATAAAAATCTCATTAGTTGGAGTTGGACGTATTTTAACATATGTAGTAATTTTATTGGAAGTGTATATACTGTAATGTAATATAACCTGTAACTGCTAGTAATTGTATAAATAAGTGAACTTACCATATTTTTACGTGAATAGTGTATGCCTTCTACGTTTGTTTGCTAACTGCTCCGTCCCCCCGTGAAATATTTTCATGAGCACTGCTATGCCAATTTTTTTACGTTGCTGTTAAAAAAATTAGCATAGCAGGCTTATGAAGATTGCTCTTGGGGGAAGGGAATGGTTGGCAAACAAACGTAGAAGGCACATGTTATTTGTGTAAAAACACAGTAAACTTGGATTATGATATTAGGGGGAAGGTTATTTTTAGGGTGCAGCTTTTTTAAATTAAAAAAAAATTAAAGTGTTAATTATACAGTTTGTAGAAAAGACCTAGTCATCATCTAATTCAGGGTATTTCAGCCCTCACTGTGCTTTAGAATCACCTGGAGAGCTTTTTGAAAGTTAGAGGTGCCTGGGACCTACTCTTAAAGAGATTTTATTTCATTTGGTCAGGAATAGGACTCAGGCTTTGGTATTTAGAAAGCATTGCAGGTCATTCTAATGTGCCACCAGGGTTTGGGACCACCGATTGGGCCCCAATCCCTCATTTTCTAGATGAGGCTACTCTAGGGTTCAACGTGGTTGTGACCTGTCTGAGGATACATAGCCATTCACTGGGGGGGCTGGACCAGAACCCAGTTCTGGTATTGCAGTTAAGTACTTCCCTGTGCCTTGCTGCATTCTCCATCCCAGACCAGAGCATGGCAGACTTTTTCTGTAAAGGACTAGATAGTAAGTATTTTAGGCTTTGTGTACCATATGACCCCTTGTCCTAGACTATTCATTTATTCAAAGAAACCACAGGATTTCCGTTTCTTGCAGTTCCTGATGTTCTTCGAAGCTACTCATTTTTTTGGTTTTGTTTTTCAGGGGAAGGGGTACTGGTGGGAGGGAGACTAGACACATAATGGAAGCATTGCTGCATTGTGATCAAGACTAGTAGCCCGCTAATGAAATGGCATCTGTGGGGTAATTTCCTCTCCTGAGTGATAATTAAGGATCTGGTTGCTTCAAGAATCATTAAAATGCTAGTTTAGATTTCAGTTCCCAGGATAAAAAGGCAACATTTTAAAATTTATGCTCAGTCTTAAATTGAATAGACATTTGAAGTATAGAAGCTCAATCCTTCTGTTTCTCCAAAAACCTAAGATAAAAAATGAAGTTGGATGTTTTAATGTAAAGGATAGGAAGAATTGTAGGACATTTGAGATTTTATTGTAAATTGATTTCAGTTCAGTATTGAGATGCTACCATGAGTTAAATGGTTTAGATGTTTGATTTACTTACTGAAAGTTAAGCTTGCTACCGATGATTTTAGTCAGGGTCTTCACTGACTAAACTTCAGCTTTCTCCAAATTATTATCTGTGTATTTCTGATCCCCCTAGTCACTTTAACTTGAATTTTATTGAGATACAGAGATAGTCAACTAAATACTCTGCTGGGAGACTAAGTGGCGGTGGTAACATTGGGCCATCTTTGACACTGTTGGTTTGCCAGTTCCCTCTGTAACCTTTTCCAGTTTTGTTCATGGACTATGTCAAAAAGGTTTCTTTCATGAGTAAATTTTGAACCCAGTTTCAAGGTGAGTTCAGAATATACTCGAATTCATTCAATCCTTTTTCTTTTCTTTTTTTTTAAATGCAGGGTTGTACATATTTTAATAATTTTCTTATGTATCTGGTGTTTAATGCTGACAGGATTCCAGTCAATGGAGAGGTTTCATTGCAAGTAGCTGCAGGTGTGTTTCATGGTAGAGATAAAAGTTTTCAGTGAAGCAGACTTTTTCTTTTTTAAAAAAATTACAGCCTAGTAAATGATGAATTTGGATGTTGATTTTGTGGGGCAGTATGGTATGCTTTGTGTGTGTTATGCTGTTACTGTTAAGTCAAAATTTTGAGTTGCAAAAGGTATAAAAGTTATCAGATACCAAATCAAAAGAAACGAAAGATTTTGAAAAATGAGTACTGAGAGTTTGTCTGTTCTTAAGTGGCCTATAGAGTTATGAATAAACCTTAAAGCATCTCATAGCACAATAAGATGTATTTATAATATTGTTTCATTTAAAAATACTCATTCTTTGCAGTGTGTTTTTCTTTGGGACTGCTGTTAATTAGGCTTCTCCTCAAAACCAGGTTAAGGGCTACTCAGCTTTTGCATTCTTAGTTTTCCTAGAAAGTACAAAGTATAATAATACATGCATTTATCATTTGAGTATTCTGTACTAGTAATTTTGCTAGGACAGGACTTTTGCTTTTAGGATTATATAGTGTAGAAGCAGTTGTAAATGAAGAAAAAATATATATGTAGTAGTGTCTTCAATTTAAGATTAGTGGGTTGAAAAAATTACCTATTTGGTCTTGGAATAATATTATGTGATGAAATCTACCACTGTGCTTGTTACATAAATATTTGTGAACACATTTGTTAAATTCTTACCAGTTTTGGTCCATAACAGTAATACTGATACTCTGGAAAACTTGCAGCAAAAGAAAAATAAGACATATGTGTTATTTATTTTGCCTTTACAGCAAGCTATAGTCAGCAGACTGGGCCCCAGCAACCTCAGCAGTTCCAGGGCTATGGCCAGCAACCAACTTCTCAGGCACCAGCTCCTGCCTTTTCTGGTCAGCCTCAACAACTGCCTGCTCAACCTCCACAGCAGTACCAGGCGAGCAGTTATCCTCCACAAACTTACACTACCCAGACTCCTCAGCCTGCTAATTATACTGTGGCCCCTTCCTCACAACCCGGAATGGCTCCAAGCCAACCTGGGGCCTATCAAGCAAGACCAGGTTTTACTCCACCTCCTGGAAGTACCATGACCCCTCCTCCCAGTGGGCCTAACCCTTATGCACGTAACCGTCCTCCCTTTGGTCAGGGCTATACCCAGCCTGGACCTGGTTATCGATAAGGAGGCTCAGCTACACTGATGAATGTAGCTGTTAGCTATTTGCCTCCTAAAAGACTCCAGTACTACTATTTTAATTTGTATTGAAGTTCAGAACTTTAAAAAGCAGAGCATTTTTTATGATATCATTGTTGCTGTTAATTGAAAGTATAATTTGCTGGAACACAAAAGACCAAAATGAAAAGTTATTTCCTCCCCTGCTTTAAAATGTAGCAGCTTCTTAGTTAATTTTGGAACACTACTCTTAAATCTGTGTAAAATGATTGACTTTCTAGCTTGCCTTGTCCAGAGGATATTAAAAATGATAGGGTTAGCCATCTTACTTGGCTTTTTATTATTAACATGATATGACATACTAAAGTAGATCCCTTTGAGACGACAACTAGATATTATGTATGAAGTGTAATACTGATAGGCTAATAAAGATGATTAAATCCATTAGTGGTCTTGTAATTTAATTTAGTTATTAACATACATACATGACAAAAAAAGAAAGTCAGTTTTTTTCAGAAATCATTGTCAGTGTTTGTCCTTAAAATGAAGTATAAACATTTTAACAACTTTTTTTTTTTTCTGACTGACTCATTTAACAATCATTGGCTTGAAAGAAGAAATCAAACTTTTAAGTAGATGTTACAGGGAAGAAAGATGAGCTTAGGCTATAAACAACACAATAGATACAAAGGGATTTTGGTAGATCCTGAATAACTAACTGATTTTCCTTCCTATAGCGATGAAAAGTATAGTTATACATGTACTGATAAACTTAAGTGTTCAGTCTTAAAAAAAAAACAAACAAAACTCTTTAGTGCAGAGTTTATGATTGTTTAAAAAAAGTGTATATAGCATTGATAAAAATGAAGCATGTTTGAAAGCTGAGCACAGGAAAGATCCTTTCAGGAAAGATCCTTTGAGAATGAGACTAATGCAGCATCCCATCTTCCTCCCCAGATGAAGGAAAACAATACATTTTAACAAAAATGAGTTAGATTTTTTATTATAAGCTTATGTTAAACAGAACTAAGAAAACATCTTATGTATTCGTGCATAGAGATCTTATATATAAATACATACTAAATAGCAAGGCGCTCACGATGCATTATCTTTCTGTGCTCAGACTTCACATTCCATCTCTCCATACAACTTGATTAGATCAGATTAAAAACATGAGGAAGACAATTGCTTAAAGGTATAGTTTGACAAAAAGTACACTCTCAGACATTACAACATATCTGGGTAGAGAAAACAAAACATATCTTTTGAAACTGAATATATCAAAACATTTTTTTGAAACTGAATATATCAGATTCTCTATTTCATTTTCAGCTGAAATGAAATTCACGGAGTCAAACAAAATCTTTTCAGTAATTTGCAAACATTTAAAGACAGGCATATTAGTATGAATGTTTACTTAAGCTCTTCAGAAAAGCTATTCAGCTGTGGCTAAAAAAATTGAAGTTGTTTAAATATGAATATTAGGACTTTTTTCCCCCAGATACATATGCTGAAGATAATTTGATCCAATAAGTTAAAGTAAGTAGAGATTTATGGAAGCAACTCACCAGTAGAAAGCGTATACATTAACAAAAGACGTAAGTATCTTTCAAAAAGTATATTAAAGTTTTTTGATGCTAATTTTGTCATAAAAGTATCTCAAAACATCATTACAACAGTGTGATAAATAATATACAAATGATCTCTTAAAATACCATGAATAGGGAGCCAGCTTCCCCAAAAAATGTTGCTCTCGTTAATAATCTTGCATTCATAAAATGACTTTGTAAAAACCTGATAAATATTCTCAGCAGTTTTTCTAATAAACATCTACTATTGCTATTAATTAAACTTTAAATTTTTATACATAGTAAACAAAACAGCTTTAAATGAATGTGACAAATACCATACTGTCCCTTTTTTGTGTTTGCCGTAATGAATAAAAGGCACTTTTCAGCATGGTTGCAGAATTTACCATTTCCCGGGTATTGCCGTCCCACATTCATACCACTGGACATAATTGATTTGAGTGTGACCACCTATTTCTCCAAACTGGACAGGTTCCTGGCGAACTGCTCTGTAATAGCCTAAGAGGGAAAATAATTTAATTTTAATATCTGCTACATTATATTTTTGCCCTCGCTGTTCATAGATTGAAGTGTGTCATTGAATGACTAAAGGTGACTCAGAGTGAAGCAGAATATTTAAGAAAATAGCAACAGAGGCCTTGGTGTTTTTCCCTAAAGCAGTAATGGCTGGCTAGAATTGGGCACACGAAGAAAGCTGACATTTGCTTACCAAGTTAGGATGGGACAGTTGGTAATGTCTGAGAGAGATAGCTGAAAAGGGATAGGAGTCAGAGGGGTGTTTTATTTGGTGTCATTGCCCACACAGTATAGCTCTCTGTCTTACCTGAAAGTGTCCTTTGTGCACATTAAAGACTAGCAGTGTCTGTGAAGAGCTACCCCGAGAAACAGTGCTATACTAGAGTATTAGGAATACAAAAGGAGGGGAGTTTTAAGATGGTTAAACTTGTGTTACTTTAATCTTACTGAAATCTCCCTCAATGCACTATATGATTAAAAATTTCACTGTGAAATGTTACAGAAATATACAAAATTTATAGTGTTTTATATTCCAGCTCCCATGAGGCATGAGTTTCACTTGCTGGTTAATGAGTTCACAGATCTTACTGAGTCATCTTTTAGTATGGTTGATACTTCAGGTGTGCAAAAATGTGTTGCTGAAAAACCTGTAATCATGATTTAAAGTATTTAAATCATTACCAGGTACCTCAGGGCGATTCCTGAGTAATATGGACAGTTTTCCTTTTACTACACAATCTGTTCCCTCATTAAGCAGCTTGGTGCTGATGTGTCTTCAGCAAGTTACAGAGGTTATTCATTTCTCAACAGAATTGTTCTATTTTAATTGTATTAATATAAAATAATTTATAAGGCAAATAACTTTTTTTTCCATTTATGGTAGTAAAGGTTTTTTTAAGAAATAAAATAATGTAGGTGATGCTGAGTATGACAGAAACCATAAAGGTAATACATAAATGATTTAAGTTTGGGAAACACTGCTTTGTTTTGCAAATTCAGATTTTCTTGAAGTAGAATGCATTTATATGTGTCTGTGTCTATTTTCCTTGAGTCTAAGCAATGGAGCCATAAGGACTGGGAGGAAAGTTGAGAAACTTATAATAAGTCTTAATTTTTCTAGTCAGATAATTAAAGCAGTAATATTATAGAATTATTTTTAAATGGATGGCTTTCCTTTCTGGGTTAATCTGCAAAATCCTCTTAGGAGGAAGATCAGAAAACATACCTTCTTTGACAGGTAACTGATCAGAAGTGAGTTGCTGTCCCGTGCGTCCATCTAAAAATGAATCTACGAACTGGCAGTGATCTTCTCCATGACCCCTCAGATCACCTATGTTATAGAATTTTCCTGAAGAACCAGAAGTTAAAAGGTTAATGAAGTGTTACTTTCTTTGATATGTGACAGTTCTGAAATAATCAGATCATCTCAAATAATCAGTCTTTCCTGGTCTTATTTTTTCCCTTGTCCCTAACATTCTAGTTCAAGCCCCCAATGTCCCTTGCCTGACCTACTGGAATAGTCTCCCAGCTGGTCTCCCTGCTTTTACTCTTGCCTCCCTATAGTCTTCCTCCCCATCCCCTCCCAGAGGTTGGTTAACGATCCTTTAAAACTGCAAGTCGGATAATGTTAGACTGCCCTCCATAAATCTCTCCAGCAGTTTCCTATTATACTCAAAATGCAAAGTCCTCACCGTGGTTCTAAAGCCTCATGTGATTTCACAGCTGCCTGCACGCGGATGCCCATCACTTACATGCTTCCCTTTTAAGCTTCCGCCAGGCTCGAGGAGCTGGCATGTTCTGCCTCAGGCTCTGCACTTTTCCCTCTCCTAAGGCTTCATCCCTAGATCTTTGCAAGGTTGGTTCCTTCTAATAATTTTCTTCTTCGCACAAGTGTTTGGTTTTCAGAGGGGCCTTCCCTATTCATTCTAGCTAAAGAAGCTTCCAATCCCTGTTCAGCCCTTCTCTCTCACCCTTTTAAAAAAGCTTTTCTTCAAAGCACCTATAAGAAGTTATTTACACACTTGTCTATCTCTCCCCACTAGATTGTAAGCTACATGAAAGCAGGATGTGTCTTGTTTGCTGCTTTGTCTCCAGCACCCAGAACAGTGTCTGGCACAAAGTAGATACTCAACAAACATTTGTTGAATGAACAAAGCAAAGTCTACCTTTCTATGTTGGGCCCAGTCTTGTTTACTTGTTGAATTTTTTACTTGTGAATATAGAAAATTCTAATTCATGGGGGTATGGAGCAAGCAGTTACAGCTCTTCTGGTCCAGTGTTTATAATCTTTAGTTTGGCAGATCTAAAATCTTAAAATTGTCCTATTCCATCCATGAATAGTGTCAGAAACACACATTTATTAGCAATAGGCTTTTCATTCTCAGATAGCTGTAACAAAATTGAGCTGGAATGTGCTAGTACCTGTTTATTCAAGTTTCCTACGATGGCACTTTGAAATTGCATTTTCCTTACTTACTTTCTAATAGCATGTCTTAAGTCCTTGTTTTCTAGATTGATAGTATTCCAGTAACATCTTAAGAGGAAATTACTTGTGTTTACATCACACCCTAATGCCTGGAATGCTTCCTAGGAAAAGCCTGAGTTACAGAGTGCTGCAGAACATTCCCCTGAAGGGAGATGCGCAGATCAGGCCCGGCAGCCCTGCTTACCTGTGAGGGAGTCGCTCAGATAAATCTTGTACCTGAGAGAGTTGCATAGCTGCACCCCTACGAACTTCTTATACCACGTCCTTTTGACATACTGCTTGCCCTTACATTCTGAGTAAGAGTCTGAATTAAAGGGTCTTTCAGTCCAGATGGCGTCTCTTCCTGCTTGGTAAGGAAAAAACGGCTGCATTTTAGTGTCTGACTCTTGGATACTGAAGAGCTTTCCTTAAAAACTAAAGAAGCAGTTTGCAAAGTTCATTTCCACTCTCTGGTACCTGATTTTCTCTATTGCCAAACATTGGGTCCAAAGATACTGTAAAGACTTAAATAAGTGAAACCCAAATTAAGTTCCTGTCAGCACGAGATCTTAGCAGTGTATAGATACTTCAGAGCCTCTTCAGTGCTGCATGCAGACAGCATTCTTGAGGAGCACACTCATTTCTTTTTTGAAGCATATTATAAAAGCTAAACAGCTGCTTTAATGTGACGTTATTTACAGTGGGAATGAAGGTTAAGTTATTAAGCAACATTTGAGCTGGCCTGGTATGATAACGAAGGCAGGTTTTGAAATGTCCGCCTTGCTCCCAGAACATATTTTAGGTAAACATTCACACCTGATTGATATTCTAAGTAGGCAAACTGGAAGAAAGCAAGACCCTGACTAAAGTTCTGCCATGCCTGTTCAGTTGAATTAGTTTAGAAAAGCATGTAGTTGCGTTCCTGTTGTAGACAGGGTACTTACCAGAAACTAGCTCGCTCACCCTAGGGTCCGCTGAGGAGAAATAGGAAACAGTGAGATGTTATTAGGTGTTTCAGTAGCAAGGTGAACAAGAGTGCTAATAGTTGTTAAAAAATTATAATAGCAAAGTCACACATTCTTGCTAAAGATTGAAAGTTTCGTTTGTTTTGTTTTGGAAGTCGTTCTTTATTGAAGAATCTCCATTCCACCAGGTGCTCAGCTGTATCTGCTGCATGTGGTTTGAGTAGTTACCAGTCATGGCTGTTCCAGCCTTCACTTCAACTTCAAAACCTTTCTCTTTCAGTTTCATACAAAAACAGTTGGTAAATTCACCAAGATGCCATGAACTGCAGTTGGTGTAAGAATTAACGCAAATAATGCGGCATGCACAGATGCAGCTCCGTGAGGAATTGACGCTTGGAAAGTCAAATTACAAAATTTCACTGCTGCTTAGCATAAAAAACTATCATTTGCTCTTTGGATGTGCTGTGGTTCAGCATGCCTGATATTTTGATTCTAGGCATACAGGAGAACATTCATTCACTGGATTTTTTAGTATACGTTATGCCTTTTTTCCTTTTTAGCTGATATGTCTAACTTTTTCCTACACATCAAGGTAAATGAGGGAAAGCGTAAGTGGTGTTTCCTTAAGGGTACCTTCAATTTGCCGTTTTCTGTGGATGGTCTTAGAAATTCAAGAAATTGATTGTTTAAGCTTGGTTTCAAACAAGTTCCCTATGTAAAACATGGATCCATTGTGGCCCTTTCCATACTTGTTGGCAATTACTGTTGATGTGATTACCTGATTCTGTACTGAATGTCACTGTGCTGCTGGCTGGGCCTTCACCAAGCGGGTTTTTGGGTTTCACCTGAAATTCATAGCTGTTTAGGGGGAAAATAAGAATAATTGTAACATATTCTTCAGGGTTAGAAAACAACATACTGACAGCCCTCCTGATTCTATTTTGAAATCATAATGCCAATAATGGTAACATATTCTAGGAGCAGCTTGAGGAGGGAAAAAAATGCTTTCTTAATTTTGCTTGTCAAACCAAACCAGCTTATCTAATGTGCTGTGTAAGAAAAGGATTAAGTTAAAAAAGATAGTTGTGTTTAAAAAACTTCCAATTAGAAATAACTGGGCAGGTTGGTAGCAGACATACAGGAAAGGCATGTGGTGGACCCAGGCTAATTCCAGCACCAAGGAGCCCCACTTTCCTTCACATGCCTCAGCTACTTCCTGGGGCACAGAACTAGAAAGGTTCTTTTTTATTCCCAAGTATACCAACCTTGGGCACAGCCTTGGGCTTGGGTAATACTCGTCACTGTGGGGTTGGAAACCCTAGTGGTGTAGTGGTTAAGAGCTACGGCTGCTAACCAAAAGGTCGGCAGTTCGAATCCACCAGGTGCTCCTTGGAAACTCTATGGGGCATTTCTTCTCTGTCCTATAGGGTCGCTATGAGTTGGAATTGACTCAACAGCAATGGGTACGGGAAGAGTCGGAAGGGACTACCTAGGTCAGAATCCTGTGATGGATGAGATGGAAATGGGGAATGTTTGAAATGCAGATATCTTGCCTCATCCTAGCCTCTGAATCCATTTCTGAGGGGGTCTAGGTAGGAATCTAACAAGTTCCCTAGGTGAGCTCTGTACCAACTGACATTTGAGGACTGCTAGGCTAAGCTACAGGAACAGATGCACATGGAAATGTTTCTTTTCAAGGACTTCCTAGTTGTATCTCTGGGAGCTCGGGCCTTCCGTGGATCCCAGGAGGCCACGGTGTCCAGAACAGGGTGTAGCACAGTGTTGCCTCATGAAGAGCATGGGCACAAGACTGAGACTTATCTCTCTATAACCCAGAGTCACATGGGCCAGGCCCTTAGTTAACCCTTTTTTGTAAGAAACAACAACAAAACTCAGATCCTTTAGAGTTTGAAATACACAGTATTTGACAAATTTTATACATACAATACTTGAACAAAGCAAATCCTTTAAAACAATTCAAACAGGAAAGCGATTTGACATTTGCCTGAAAGTAGGAGTTCCTGAAAGAAGCAGACTTAGCAGCAAAATAACTTTGAATGCAAAACCAGCCTGAATCAACCAGTAGTATCTTCTGAGGCCCAAAACTGTACGTAGCTTTTGGAAGATAAATAATTCCCGTCTTTGAGAAGTTTGTTATTGAATAGCAATACAGAACACACAAAAGATTGAAAGATGCTTTATAAGTGAAAAACAGAAGAATGACAGTTCTCATAGATTGGTATGGAGGGCACGAAGTGAGCAGTAATGAAAGAAGTTTCCGGGGCCAAAGGAGTCAGCTTTATAATTACCAAGGCACTGCAATAAAACACTTAGAATTTAGTATGAGACCACAGATTTTAGCACTATAACAATGGCAACCATTTTTTGAGTGCTTACTGTGTATCAGGTGCTATGTTAATCATTTGACATATATGAAATTAATACAATGAACCCCATGAGATAGGTATTATTCTAATTTTCAGTTGAGAACAATGAGGGCCCTATCTTTATAATATTACTGCCTTTGCTTTTTCAAGCAAGCATCAGGTTCTTTGTGAAATGGAAATTTAAACTTACCCTTCCTACCTCATAGAGTTTTAATGATAATGCAATTTTGTAATTTGTAAATCAAACAACTATATAAAGCGCTATTATCACTGTCATAAGAGAATGCAGATACAAAAACACCTATGCCAGTCCTTTAAGTAAATCACACACACTTGGGGAATTTTGGCATGGAGCGTTTTCCAGAGGTTAAAGTCCAGCTGAGAGGCCTAATGGCCTTAGGGAGAAAGGACCGGAGGGGGAGCTATGGTGAACTGAAAATGGGGGAAAAGATCACAGGCATCTGGACTTGGAATCAGTGGGCAATGCATTCCATCTTCCAGGCCATTGCCAAAAGCCCTGTGCTTTGGCCAAGTGTGATTGCTGAAATCATCTCCATGTCTTTTTATTTCATGGTTATTTACACTTTCGCTCCTTTTGCAGCATGGCTGCAAATATTCATGAGCTACTTTTTTTTTTTGGCCAACACTTCATGACACTTAAGTTTTGAAGAAATTATTTTAAACTAATTAATTGCATGGGAAATTAAAGGCATATTTTTGGCCAGTGACACCCTAAATAAGCAAACTATGGTGGCAAAAACTTTCTCAAAAAGCACATTTTATGTATGACACCATAGGTCTGAGAATACTGTCTCTGACTACCTATGAAATAAGCATAGGAATGCTATTAAAAACTTTTAGAGAACAAAAAAGTTTCTTGAAATAGAAGATATAGCATAAATAAAAATTTAAATACAAGGTTTGGGAGATAAATTTGAAATTTTACGAATATTAGAACAAAACACCAAAGATAAAATAAGAAAATTGGATGATTATCCAAGGAATACAATACCCAGCTAAAAGGAATTTTGGAAGAGAGTGCAGAAAGTTTCCAGATTGAAAGGGCCTACTGTGTGCCCAGTAAAATGAAAAAAATAAAATAGAAAAGACTAACAAAAGCACACTATTTGTAGAATTTCAAAGTACTGAAGATCCCAAAAGCCTCTGAGACAAAAATAAGACGTCCCATTCAAAGGATCTAGAATCAGAATGATATTTGACTTCTCCACAGCAAAACTAGAAGTTAGAAAATAATGAAGCAGTGCCTTCAAAATTCTGAGAAATAATTTTTATCCTATAATTTTATGTCTAGCTGAACAGTCACTTAATTATCAGAGTAGGACAAGGACATTTTAAGACATGCAAAGACGCATAAATGTTATCTTTCATAACCTTTTCTCAAGATGCCACTAAGTGCAGGCGTAAACAAGGAAGAAGATATGGGACGCAGGAATTAGGAATCCAACACAGTAGCGGGGCAAAAGATGAAGGTGAGGAGAGATGCTACCATAAACAAATAAATAAATATATATGGACTAAATAGATGTCTTGCATATTTGACCATTTTGAAGAACAGGCTAGATACATGGATTTAATTTAGCAGAAGAAATAGCTAAAATAATTGAAAATGGTTGCCTCTAAGAAAAAGAACTTAAGAATAGAGAGGAACTTTTTGTAGTATTATTTGAGGTTTAGAACCATGTACATGTATTTCTGATAAAAATAAAAATTTAAAAAGCCTTTTATATGACTTACTATATCAAAATAAATCTCTGGAATTACAGTCTAGGTAACAACTGCATCAAGCCTCTGGGTCCCACAGAGGACAAGCCAGGTAAATAACACTCTTCCCAGAACACCATATCTGGTTCTGCCTGGGTAGGTCATGTATCCCAACAAAAACAACCCTTTTGCGCATCCCTCTTAGGAGGCAGCATGGTGCAGTGGTAAAGAATGTGGACTCTGTAGTCTGAAATACGATTCATAGCTGCACTGAATATTTAATGTATGACTTTTAAGTTACTTAACCTCTCTGAACCTTACTTTCCTCATATATAAAATGAGAATAATAATGGTACTTGTGAGGATACTATTAATAATATGCTTGTATGGGTGTAAAATAATCTGTGAGGATTTTTAGTGAGGATTGAATGAGATAACGTACATAAAAGCAAGGAACTTGGCATATAGCGATTTTAAATGTTGCTGTTAGGTGCCATTGAATCAGTTCCAACTCATAGCGACCCTATGTACAATAGAACAAAACACTACCTGGTCCTGTACCATCCTTACAATTGTTATGTTTGAACCCATTGTTGCAGCCACTGTATCAATCCATCTTGTTATGGGTCTTCCTCTTTTTCGCCAACCCTCCCTTTACCAAGCATGATGTCCTTCTCCAGGGAATGATACCTCCTGATAACATGTCCAAAATACATTAGACAAAGACTCGCCATCCTCGCTTCTAAGGAGCGTTCGTTCTGGCTGTACTTCTTCCAGGACAGACTTGTTTGTTCTTCTGGCATCCATGGTATATTCAGTATTTATCACCAACACCATAATTCAAAGACATAAATTCTTCAGTCTTCGTTATTCATTGTCCAGCTTTCGCATGCATATGAGGTGATTGAAATACCATGGCTTGGGTCAGGCACACCTTAGTCCTCAAAGTGACATCTTTGCTTTTGAACACTTTAAAGATGACTTTTGCAGCAGATTTGCCCAATGCAATACGTCGTTTGATTTCTTGACTGCTGCTTCCATGGGTGTTGATTGTAGATCCAGGTAAAATGAAATCCTTGACAACTTCAATCTTTTCTCCGTTTATCATGATGTTGCTTATTGGTCCAGTTGTGAGGATTTTTGTTTTCTTCATGTTGAGGTATAATCCATACTGAAGGCTGTATTCTTTGATCGTCATCAGTAAGTGCTTCAAGTCCTCTTCGTTTTCAGCAAGCAAGGTTGTGTCATCTGCATACTGCAGGTCGTTAATGAGTCTTCTTCCAATTCTGATGCTGTGTTCTTCATATAGTCCAGTTTCTCGGATTATTTGCTCAGCATACAGATCAAATAAGTATGGTGAAAGGATATAACCCTGACACACACCTTTCCTGATTTTAAACCACACAGTAGCCCCTTGTTCGGTTCGAACTATGTACAGGTTCCACATGAGCACAATTAAGTGTTCTGGAATTCCCATTCTTCGTAATGTTATCCATAACTTGTTAGGATCCGCAACAGTTCAATACCTTTGCATAGTCAATAAAACACAGGTAAACATCTTTCTGGTATTCTCTGCTTTCAGTCAAGATCCATCTGACATCAGCAATGATATCCCTTGTTCCATGTGCTCTTCCAAATTGGCTTGAATTTCTAGCAGTTCCCTGTCCATGTACTGCTGCGACCGTTTTTGAATTATCTTCAGCAAAATTTTACTTGCATGTGATATTAATGACATTGTTTGATAATTTC